GAGGAATAGGAGGAGCTTGTTCCTAGCACACGCATGAGAAGAGCTGCCAGAAGGCAAGAGCAGCTAAAGCAAAAAGGACAACTCAGGAGTAAGGCCAAGAGATGATTGGCCCCTTCCATAAGGCTTAAAAGACCAGCAACAGCTCTTGGGCTCTTTGTCGGAAAACAACGTTGATAGATTTGTTTCTTGTCTTGCTGCATTTATTTCTTGTTGGCGTCTTCTGCTTCTGAACTTTTGCCAAGAAAAGCCTTTGGCAGGTTGCCTAATTAGACCAAGGTTGGTGATAAGGCTGTAGAATTGTGTTATGAAGAATTTTTTTTTTTTTTAATTTTGATTTATATGCCGCCCTTCTCCGGAGACTCAGGGCGGCTTACAATGCGCTAAGCAATAGCCTTCATTCTTTTGTATATTTATACAAAGTCAGCTTATTACCCCCACAACTGGGTCCTCAATTTACCTACCTTAGAAAGGATGGAAGGCTGAGTCGACCTTGAGCCTTGGCGATTCGAACCTGCAGTAATTGCAGGCAGCTGGTCTTAATAACCAGTTTTGAATTAGTTTGGACTACGCTGAGAATGAGTTAATTCTCAGCTGTTCTAATAAAGTCTGTTTGTTTCTAACTGATTGCGTCAGATAATAGCTACTTGGGCCTGGGTCACAACACCTTGGTAGAGTTTAAGATGGGTGGACTTCAACTCCCAGAATTCCCCATCCAACAAGGCTTCTGGGAGTTGAAGTCCATCCATCTTAAATCGTACCAAGGTTGGGAAGCGCTGCTTTATGGGATTTTTGTTCATCTCAATTTTGATACTAGAAAGAAAAGTTATGGCTGTGTTCGCTCAACATGCAAAATTGATTTTACCGTGGTTAATTTAACATGCTACAATTGGTTGGGTTTCTCCCAAAGCACACTGGCTTATCTGAATTGGCATGACACGTTAAGCTACAAACAAGCCATGTTTAGCGGACTGTGCAAAGCTGCTCCGTGCCCTAGTCTGCATTGCTATTCCTCATGGTGCAACTGGCATAGAAGCGAAGCAAAGCTACAGGGGCTGCTCATCTTACAGAAATACAATGTGTTCATTTGTGGCTCAATGTGTTGTGTGAATCAAGTTGAATCGTTGGTTTATAATTGATGCAATGTGGGAACCCAGTTACATCCGTTCAAGGAAACCAGGTGTCTGCGGTTTGAATGAGCACAGGTTGGGTCACTCTTCATTTTTCTATCTCTGTGGCGACTGAATCCCGCGGCGACAGCCTTGACTTTTGGTATGTAATCCCTTGTGGCTATTGGACCATAGAGACAGAGGTGGGATTCAGCCGGTTCGGAAAAACCAGTAGCTCCGACAATCAGCTGAGAGCGAACCGGTTTACTCCGACAATCAGCTGGGCCTGCCTGCCCGCCCCTGCACTATACCGACCTATATTTCCTTTGTTTTAAGCCCAGCTGATAGGCGCGGCAGAGCAGATTGCTGCGCCTCAGTTGTTTTACTCACCGGGGCTGCAGTAGAAGGTAAGTTTTAGGGCTGCTTTCAAATGCACAGGGCACGCACAGAGCGCATGTTTGGCGCATGTGCGAGCAAAGCGAATCTGCATGTCAAACTGAACCGCCAATGGTCCTGTAGTTGGCAATTTTTCTCTGGAAATCTGTTCGTTCTCCTGCATCATTTGAGTGCCTCCCAGTGGCCTCAACGACTCTCTAAAAAGGATGCAAATGACCAGCTGCCTGCAAGGAATATAAATCCTTCCATTCCCCACCATCCAGTCAGAGCTGAAGAAGCTCCTGGGATGAGAAGTGAAACGTCCTCAAAGAAAAACCAGAAAGCCCAGTTGAAAAAAGCACCTGTGAGACAACCATGACCTGGGATGACTGAGAATCTCCATAGACATCGCAGTTGTTCGATGAATCACACAATCGTGAATTGTGTCCACATTCCTTCATTGACTCGGGTTTTTTTGGAAGCTGGCTGGGAAGGTCTCAAATGGCAATCCGGTTACCTTGGGATGCTGCATCTGTCATAAACACGCGCTTGATTACCAAGTGCCCATATTCTGATCATGTGACCAGAGGGAGGCTGCCATGGTCATAAATATGCCAGAACTGGTCATAACTCACTTTTTTCAGTGCCACTGTAACTTCAAATGGTCACTAAATGAACTGTGGTAAGTTGAGGACTACCAGCACTTGAAAAAACAGTGTTTTGATTCATGTGTGTCTCCCCACGTAACACTGTTTTCTTCAGCAGTAATACAGGTAATCCTCGATTTACAACAGCTCATTTAGTGACCGTTAAAAAGTTACAATGGCCCTGAAAAAACAGTCTTAAAACCATTTTTCACGCTTAACGACCATTGCAGCTCCCTCATGGTCATGTGATCAAAATTCCGATGCTTGGCAACTGACTCACATTTAGGACAGTTGCATGGAAGCGATCATCCTTTGGGGCCAGATTCTCTTAACAACCGTGTTACTAATTTAGCAACTGCACTTTATTTAGCACTTGCGGGCATAAAAGATCGTAAGTGGGGCAATACTCACTTAACAAATGTCTCACTTAGAAACAGAAATGTTAGGCACAATTGTGATTATTAGTCAAGGACTACCTGTGCCGTGTTTTCCCCAAAATAAGACAGGGACTTATATTAATTTTTGCTCTAAAAGATGCATTAGGACCAGGGGTGAAATGCTCCCGGTTCGGACCGGATCGCCCAATCCGGTAGCGATGGAGGCAGGTGGTTCGGAGAACCGATAGCGAAAATCCCTGCCCTCCCCCCACCATGCCCAGCTGAGCCGCACAATCATCAGAGGCTTTTTTTTTCTTTTAAAAGCATTTTTTCTACAACCTTTTCTGGAGGGGGGGGGAAATGCTTTTAAAAGTAAAAAAAAAAAGCCTCTGATGATCGCACGGCTCAGCTGGGATCGTCAAAGGCTTTTAAAAGAAAAAAAAACCTTTTTTTCTTTTAAATGCCTCTGACGATCCAAGCTGAGTTGCCTGATCGGCACAGGCTTTTGAAAGCATTTTCAACCCGAAGGGGTTGTAGAAAAAATGCTTTTAAAAGAAAAAAAAAATTGGCCACGCCCACCCAGTCACATTACCCCCACCACCAAGCCACGCCCACAGAACAGGTAGTAACAGATTTTAGATTTCACCACTGATTAGGACTTATTTTCTGGTTAGGTCTTATTTTCAGAGAAATATGGTACTAAATGCATCCATCTGGCTGACGATCTTAACAGGCTTATTTTTGGGGATAGGGATAATATTACCAGCATCCTGAAAAATCATGCTAGGGTTTATTTTCCAATTGGGTCTTATTTTTGGGGAAACACAGTATTACAACTGCAACAATGTCTTATTAGGAAATTATGTTTTTTCAATTGGAACAACCATCTCCAATCTAACCCTCTTTGGTCCACTCCCAGGGCCATCATCCAGGCATTCGGAGAGCTCCGAGGGGGAAGAGGGAATGGAGCTGTCTGAGATAGAGGCCGAGGCAGAGCCTGGGCCGTCCATTAGCCCCCGGATGGAGAGTCAACAGCCCCCAGGTCCAGAGGTCACTGATGAGGAAGAGGAGGAACGGCTGGGTCTTGTGCCTGACGCACGGATGCACAGAAGGCAGAGAACAGCAGGAGTCTACGGGCCGGTCCTCAGGATGGAAGAGCCACCGCTGCTAGCTAAGCCCCCCGCTAGCTCTGGGGATAAAAGGCAGGAGGCGGAGACGAATAGGTGTGGCAGACAACTATTCATCTCCCTGTCAGTCAGCCACTGATAGTTCTCACTTCTGAATCCTGTCTGGAGCTGTATCGGCCTTCTTTCTTGGATTCTGCGGCACTGAGAGTCGGGCGTGCCTTCGGAGTGTATGTTTGTGTGTGTCTCCGCTACTGGAAAAAGAGCAGGCGCACCTTCCAGGACTTTCGTTATGAGGGTGGTAAGTGAGAGAGACTCCTGGTGTGTTGGAACCATTTCAGGGGGGAAGGGGAGTGAGCTTAGGTTTCCACAGGCACTTAGAGATTTCATTAGCCTGCTGAGAGAGAGTGAGACTCTTTGCCAGGGTTGCTGGTGCTCAGGGGTGAAATGCTACCGGTTCGGGTAAACTGGTAGTGAAAAAATGCTACCAGTTCGGACTAACTGGTATTTCCGACGATCAGCTGTGCTGCACAATTTATATTTGCTAGAAAGCAGGAAATCCTGCTTTCTAGCGAATCTAAATCGCGCCGCACAGCTGTTCCCCGCCATCGCTGTTCTACTTACCTTAGAAAAGGCTTCTTAAGCTTTATTTTTCAGTGTTGCGCGGTAATGCCTAGAGTGTGCATGCGTGCAAAGCACGTTTGGTGCGCACCGCATATGCGCACGCACAGCAAACCGGTAGCAGACCTCGGAGGATTTCACCACTGCTGGTGCTCCTAATAAATGGAACGTTTAATTAAAAAACAACGTGCTTTGTTGTGTTTGGGAACCGGGTCAGAACACCTCGACACAGACCAACTGAATCTATGCCACCAGAACGATAAACAAACAGAACCCCAGGATTAAGAGATGGGATCTTGAACCCTCAGCCTTTCTTGTAGGCCATCGGGACTTCCTAGGCCGCAGGACACTTTGGAAGCCCTAATTCCCTCCTCCCCACTCCCCGGTCCTGACTTAAAATTAGGCTGTTGACACCGAAATCCAATTTAGAAAGACTTTATTAAATTTGGACAAAAGAGAGATTTGAAGAGAAATAAAGCAGGGTGCAGTATAAAAAGAATGATTAAATAAAGTAGCTTCTACAATGCCTATATGGAATCACTATAAGCCAAGGTCCATTAACTTGCGTCCGACAAGTGCGTTAAGCCAAAGACGAAAGGAAGAAAAATAAAAATACCTGCTATTACTTTGAGGTAAAGGGGGAGTGGAGGGGGGGGGAGGAGGAGCTGAAAGGAAGGGGGGAACCCCCCCACCAATCAGAAACTGGCAAGAACGTGCTGGTTGACCCCTCCTGAAAGAGAGGTGGCTCACTCATCCTCGCCGAGGCGAGAAACCGAAGGTGGTTGACAGGCTTGCTCTGGTAGACCGTGACGTGGCGTTTCCAACAGGCCTTCTCATGATGCCAAGTTTATGGCTGCCGTTGGGCCACAGGCAACCGCAGCAACTGCCAGATACATCCATGCTGGACATGTACCATTTTCCTGATAGGGGACAGCGCTTTAGGATGGAACCAAACTCAATTCCATCCCGCGACCACAAACCTGCTCTCTTCAATGTCCATACCTCATTCCCCGTCCCAAAACGCCAGGCCCCCAAATCCATACCCTGCACAGCTCGGGAGGGGGAAATCAAAACAAGCAGGAGCCCCCAGCAGTTTCTCTTACACTGATGCGACCGCTGTAGAGACAAACCTTGGTCGGAACCAGAGCTAGCCAAAAATGTTCACATTGAACTGGTTATAGCGTGCATGCAATCAAAACGGGAGTCGTGCTCTTCGTCAAATCAACTCACTTAAAATATAATCCATTTAAAAAAAAAAAAATCTAAGAGGTAAGAAAGGAAAAAGGAAACAAAAAGCCACGATAGAGACAATCAGTCCTATTCACCCTTCATACGATCGGTCGACTTCTCTAGATACACATCGCTGTGTTGTTCCAGCTGTCCATTAAGGAATCCAGTCCTGGAAGTAACAGAGAAGGTACGACACGTACCTGGTGGAAAAGAAACAAAAACTACCAAGATGAGAGAAGAGCTTTATGCCTTCTCCTTCAAACAAGTCTTTTCATGCACGAGGAGTTTTGGTTTCTGAACGAAGTGCTTCCCACCAGTACTCAGACCATTTGTCTCCGGGCGTGGATTTTTTCATGCTTGTGAAGGTTGGAGCGATGGCCGAAGCATTTGCCGCAGACCATGCAACGGTAGGGAGTCTCCTTCGTGTGGGTCCTCTGGTGCGCAACAAAAGCCGATTTGTCCCGGAAACTTTTAGGACATTCGGGACACTGGTAAGGTTTTTCTCCCGTATGGATTTTCTCGTGTTGAACCAGCCCGGCGTTCTGAGAAAAACTTTTCCCACACTCCCCGCAGTGGTACGGCCTCTCTCCGGTGTGGGATCTTCTGTGCTTCCTAAGAGAAGATGCGTCGCCGAAGCTCTTCCCGCATTCCACGCAAACGTACGGTTTTTCTCCCGTGTGGATCCTCTCGTGGACAATGACGTTGGCCCGGTGCCGGAAGCTCTTCCCGCAAACCGAGCAAGGGTAGGGCTTCTCTTCCGTGTGGATCCTCATGTGGACGTGGTAAGCAGAGGTGTTTCGAAAGCTCTTCCCACAGACGGGGCACTCGTGCGGTTTCTCTCCCGTGTGGATACGCTGGTGCCGGATCACGTCGAACTTGTGGGCGAAACTCTGTCCGCAGTCTACACAATGATACGGCTTCTCTCCCGTATGTGTCCTCTGATGAGCCAAGAGCCCACTTTTCTTGTTAAAGCTCTGTTCGCAGTCCGGGCAAGGGAAAGCTTTCTTTGGCACGTGGCTTTTTTCGTGGGCGGTCAGTTGCGATCGCTGGCTGAAGCTCTGCCCGCATTTGGAGCAAATGAAGGGTTTCTCTCCCGTGTGGATGCTCTGATGGGCCACCAGCACGTCTATCCCCGAAAAGCTCTCTCCGCAGTCCCAGCAGGTGTACGGATTCTCCACCGAAGCTGGAAAAGAAACAGATTTGCTAGCTACATTACTCTGGCCACTTTGGGACTGATCTGTGGACACGCCTTTCCTAGGATCTTATCTGAGTCGGTCACCAGGACTAGAGGTTTGTTCTTCCAAGCTTTCGGACTCGTGCTGGAGCCCATCCTCAAGGAACTCCTCAATCTCCAAGACACATCCTGGAGATTGAGAACTTCCCTGAGGATGGGTTCCAGCACAAGTCTGAAAGCTTGGAAGAACAAACCTCTGGTCCCAGTAAGCGATTCAGATTGGATTCTGGGACATGTATATTTGCCTTCACACATCTTACGGTTCAGGATCCTGGGATGCTGTGAGGATGAAACTTTGGCAGCTACATGCCTCTTTATTTCAACTTGCTATTACACTGGTGGTGGTGGTGGGTGTTTCGAATGGGTTAGATGAAGAAACACCACCTCTACAATTCTGCTGAAGACTGCGAGAGCCTGAAACCTTCTCAAGGACATCGTAACAGGTGTGGAGTTGAAGCGGACGGTTCCTATAACTAAGTGAACTTGTTTACATGGGGGGGTTGGTTGGGAAAATTATTGTTTAATGTTTGGGAGCCTCAGAGTTAGTTTTACTTCAACATTATCATATGTTCAATTCAATAAACAGTAAATTTTTTGGAAACGGAATGAACCCGGAGTTTTATTTGGATTCTCGAGCTGGATGTTGACAGATGCGTTCTGCACTGCTGTGCCAGAGAGTATCCAAAAAGCTGCAACTCATCCAGAACTGGGAGGGGGGAGATTCTTCACTTGTCCCAAAGGCCTCTCGGCGGCTGCTGAAATAAGGAGAACCGCCTTATAACATGGCTGTCAGCATTCTGATGCTGCCATAAAAAGACGAGGCTTGACTTTTCACCTACTTATTTCTCTGTAGATAATATCCCCTAGGAGATGGGATGGTGGGGGGAACATTCCTGTGGGGTGAGGTCAGAAGCTGGGGAGACTGACTTGGAAGATGGCCAATGAGAAGATGAGAATTGGGGTACGGAAAGGGAAGGGTTTGGGGGTCAGAGGGTTATTATCGGCTACGACAAAGTCGTGGCCAGATCTGTCGTACTCAATAAATGGAATATTTCAGCAAAGATTAATTTATTTGAGATGACATCGAAACCTGACAATGGCTTTTGTCTCTCCCAGGGAAGCCAGGAGCTTCCCAAGGAAAGACACCGACTCCAGTCAGACCACTGGTAGTGCCAGCTCAAGGCTTTTTGTAACTGGCCAATGCCAGGATTGTCTCAGAGTGCAGGGGCAGCTCTGGGACAAAATCTACCCAGCTCAATCCTGGCTTCTTACCAAAACTGAATGCCAACTAAGTGGCAGCTTAAACAGAGTAATGACATCAAAGGTACTTTAAATGGAAACTTGAGTTTCATGATCCCGGAGAAGGGAAGTCAACATTCTTGGAGGTCAAGAGAGGGACTTTCTGTCTGTAACAAAGCAAGCGGAACGACGACATCACAGCATCACTGGAATGGCTAAGAAGCCTGGGGAAGAATTCGGCCTTTTATGCTAGTTTTTTTTTTTTTTTACCTTTTCCCTTGCTGTTTTTCGGTTGAAAGCAGAGGTGGGTTTCACGTAATTTTATCACCGGTTCACCGCACACCAAAAATGTGCTCTCTCGCGTGGTTTGCACACATGCGCGCGGTTTAGAAAACAAGGCTAAATAGGGCTGCATAGCACCGGGGCTGAATACCATCACCAGTTGAAAGGCTTGGAAATCCTTACCCAGTAAAGGGACATCCTCTTCTTTGTTCTCCCTGAACATCGGCCATTCGCTCGACTCCATCGGTGGCCCCGCAGACCCATGGAAATCCACAGTTGCCTCTTTGAAGGGCCAGAGACCCTAAAAAAGCAGCAAGACCCAACAGCAACAGTAGCAGAAAAGACGGAATGAGAGGCTTGTCTCGCCAGCCTAGCTAACACACCCAATCCTCAAATACATACTTAATTGGGAAAATACGATCAGTCTACTACATATAGGTAGTCCTTGATTTACAGTCACAATTGGGAGCGGAATTTCACTTGTCGAGTCACCATGTGACTGGATCCAATTTTACAACCATTTCTATGACGGCCGTAAGTTGCATCATTGCAGCGATAAGTCAAGTCACACATAAGTCAAGTGCGAATCTGGCGTAATCAGCGAGTGGCAGTTATTGTTGTGAAAATGTTGCAAATCACGATCACGTGACCGTGGGATGCTGCAACCCGTCATAAATGCGAATCAATTACCAAATGCCCAAATTCTGATCATGTGGCAATGCAGTCAAAGGCGATGGTCATCAATTCCAATTTAGGCCATCACTTTTTTGAAGGACGCTGTTTAATTTAAACGGTCATTAGATGAGGACTACCAGTACATTGGAAACCTGGGTATCCTGGACACTTTGTTTATTGTACCGCCTAATATATAGTATTTATAGAGGTACCGTATTTTTCAAACTGCAAGATGCACTTTTTTTGTCTCCCAAAAGGGGGTAAAAATGTCTGTGTGTCTTATAAATCGAGTATTGCCAAAGCCCCACCAACTTGTCAGCCATTTTTTTGCCTCCACACAACCCATTTTTTGGGCCTTTTCTTGGCCTGTTTTCGGGGCTTTTTTCAGCCCTTTTTTGAGGCTTTTTTTGGCCCGTTTTTGAGGCTTTTTTCAGCCCATTTTTTCGGCTTTTTTTGGTGCGTTTTCAAGGCTTTTTTTTTGGCCAATTTTTGGGGGAAAATGGCCTGAAAAAATCCTCAAAAATGGGCTGAAAAAAAGCCTCAAACACAGGCTGTAACACGAGGCTCCCCCGTGCCCCATTTTGGGCCTGGAAAGCCGCCTGCACCAACCTGGAAGCCAAAATGGGCCATAGGGGGGCCAGGACGCATGCGTGGGGGAGGGGGCAGGACACATGTTAGATACATGTTAGATACTTAGATACTTATGCTTTGGGCATTCGGCATCAAAAAATGTTGCCATCACTGGTCCCTTAGGGAGTCTGTGGCTGAATTTGTAATAGGACTCCCCAGTGGTAGCTAAACTCCAAGAAGCCTCAGTTAGCACAATCCGGGCTTAAGGCTGGAGTTGAGGAACATCTGGATAGCATTCAATCACCCTTCTTTTCAGATATTGGGCAAGGGCTGACTGGTGACCTCTGATGTGCAAAACCTGCATTCTACTGCTGTAGAAGTAGTCCTCGATTTACATCAGTTCGTTTAGTGACCATTCGAAGTTACCACGGCACTGAAAAAAGCGACTTAGTGACCATTTTTCACACTCACGGCCGTTGCAGCATCCCCACGGTCAGGTGTTCCAAATTCAGACGCTGGCCAACTGACTCTTATTTATGTCCTGGAGTTACGTGATTTCTTTTTTTGCGACCTTCTGACAAGCAAAGTCCATGGGGAAGCCAGATTCACTTAACATCCACGACACTAACGTAACCGCCGCAGCGGTTCCTTTAACAACCGTGGCAAGAGGGCAAAAATTCACTTAGCAAAGGTTTCGCTTAGCAACAGAAAGATTGGGCTTCATTGTGGTCATACGTTGAGGAGTACTTTTTTTATGCCTGCTCTTTCCCCGATTTAAATTCTGCCGTTCGAAACATTCAACGCTGGGTTTCCCCCTGATTTATTTGAAGGAAGCTATTCGCGGTCTTGAATTTAGTGGTATCTTTTCTGGCTCGCGGTTGCGTTAATCTTCCATTCCTGCAATTCCAAACAAATTCCAAACATTCTGGAGTGACTGGGCCTTCCCGACTGAGGGGGGAGCAAACATTTTCAGCCTCTGTGCCTGTCTGGAATTTCAAAGCATTGCACAAAATGGCTGCCGAGGTAAGGTCTTTCCGAGTCTCAAAATGGCAGCCAAAAGGTTCAGGAAGTTTAACAGCCGTTAAAAAGTCAGAGATGACTTTTTTCCAATCCCTCTTATTCTTCCTCTTTTTTTTTTTTTCAAACATGCAAATTTTTCAAGCATGCAAAAATTTCCAAACTGAACACTCAGGCATAGGGGAACACGAAAACCAGTTTGGAAAAAGGTACAAGTAGTCCTCGATTTACGACAGCTCGTTTAATGACCGCTTGAAGTGATAACGGCGCTGAAAAAAAGTGACTTGTGACCGTTTCTTCACACTTACGACCATCGCGGCGTGCTCCTGGTCACATGATCAGAATTCAGATGCTTGGCACCCGACTCGTATTTATGATGGTTGCAGTGTCCCGGGGTCGCACAATCCCTTTTGGCAACCTTCTGGCCAGCAGAGTCAATGGGGAAGCCAGATTCGCTTAGCAACCGCATTACGGACGTCACAAGTGCAGTGATTCACTTAGCAACCGGGACAAGAAAGATCGTGAAGTGGGGCAAAGCTCACTTCACAAATGCCTCACTTGGCAACAGAAATTTTGGGCTCAACTGTGGCCGTAAGTCGAGGACTACCATTGTAAAAACATTAAACTTTGCCCAGAGGAACAGGAAGGGGGTGAGGGACACAGTCAAAATTGGCCCACCCTGATTTCTCTTAGAGGAAGAGAAATTCTGTTGAATTATCCAGATTTTGTTATGATATTTAGACTAGATCTATGTTTCTCAATCTTGGCGTCATGAAGGTATATGGACCTCAACTCCCAGAATTCCCCAGCCAGCATAGCTATGCTGGCTGGGGAATTCTGGGAGTTGAAGTCCACACAGCTTTACATTGCCAAGGTTGAAAACATTGCAGTAACCTGCCGCTTCTCTCCAACTAAATTTTGGTGGCCACACTTGATGTCGCTTGCCGAGCCTCAGTTTCCCCGGCTCATCCTTCCCCCTCTCTTCTCACCTGCCGTTCCCGTCGCTCCGTCCCTTGCTGACGTCCCAGGAAATCCTCAGCCAAGCTAACGGCTTGAAAGCAAGTCTCCGGATGACCGGCTCTGACCCAATTCTGCATTTCTTCGGGCAAAATGGACAGGAACTGCTCCAAGATCACCAGCTCCAGGATTTGGCTTTTGGAACGCCGCTCCGGTTGCAGCCAGCGATGGCAGAGCTTCCAGAGCATACCGCAGACTTCGCGGGGACCCTCGGCATCCTGGTAGCAGAACTGCCTGAAACATTGGCGTTCAATGTCCAGGCTGGCGCCGGTCACCTCCAGCCCTTCCTCCCCCACCTCTATGAACTCAGTTTTGTCTTTCGCGCAGGCGCTGTTGATCAATGGCCGGGCTCCTTCGCTAATGTGCAAAAGGGGCTGGATGATCCTGTTTCGCTGACGATGTGGCCCGAGGTCGGCGGTTTCCTCCAGGGAAGAGAGTTCGGCCTCCGAATGGATGCTTCCTTCTGCCTTCAGCAGCTGCTCATTGCCGGGCTCGGAAGTCGGGGACTGTTTACCCATTATAAATTTCTCTTCTTCCACTTCCAAGCAACAGTCTTCTGGATTGGCCTCCGGCTCCCGCTTAATGGCTTCCGCCGTTACTTTTTCCACGGATTCCTTGGCTCTCTCCGAGGGGACCCTCGGAGGCCTTTCCACCACTTCCTTCTCGGCCTCGGCTTCTTTGCGGACCTCGACTTTCATCTTATCTTCCACATCGGCATCCAGCTGGAGATCCAAGCCAGCTGGGTTTCTGTGTTCTCCTGCCATTGTCGCTTCTTAATGCCAAGGCTGGGATGGGACCTGGGGAAACCCTCCTTTCTCAGAGATGCTGGTGCAGGAATTGGGAGACAGGGTTAACAAGGAAGCGTTTCGGCCCTGGAATTAAAAAAAGAGAGAAAAATTCCAATGTTATAACCAATAAAGGAGAATATTTACAGCTCAGAGTTGACATGAGGGGTCCTTGGTGCCCTTTGAACTTGCTTGTTTTCTTTCAGACGTCTCATTACCCAAACTAGGTAACAGCATCAGTGCTAGGAAGGAGTGGGGTTTGCTGTCAGTTTAGGTTTCTTGCCTGTCTGTGTGGGTGGGGGCAGTCTTAAGAGATTCTTTGGTTGGGCTGTTGAACACCCTGACAAATCAGCCATCAATAGAGCCTTGATAGTACAGGGGTTTAGTGCACCCTGTTATTAACACAGCTGCCTGCAATTTCTGCTGGTTCGAATCTCTCCAAGGCTCAAGGTTGACTCAGCCTTCCATCCTTTCTAAGGTAGGTGAAATGAGGACCCAGTTTGTGGGGGCAATAAGCTGACTTTGTATAAAATATACAAAAGAATGAAGGCTATTGCTTAACGCATTGTAAGCCACCCTGAGTCTCCGGAGAAGGGCGGCATATAAATCAAATTAAAAAAAAAAAAAAAAAAAAGACACACAGACATTAACAACATCTATAGCAGGGGTCCTCAAACTACGGCCTGCGGGTTGAATATGGCCCGCCGAAGCCATTAATCTAGCACATGTGGGAACCACTCACATCGCCCCACCTACCCGCTGGCCCCCACCCGCCTTCTGGATGCCGAGAAGGCCAAAAATGGGACGCGCAGAGCAGAGGTGGGTTTCAGCAGGTTCTGACCAGTTCTGGAGAACCGGTAGCAGAAATTTTGAATAGTTTGGTAAATACCAGTAAAAACCACCTCTGACTGGCCCCGCCCCCATCTATTCTCTGCCTCCCGAGTCCCAGCTGATCGGGAGGAAATGGGGATTTTGCAGTAACCTTCCCCTGGAGTGGGGTGGGAATGGAGATTTTACAGTATCTTTCCCCTGGAGTGGGGTGGGAATGGAGATTTTACAGTATCTTTCCCCTCGAGTGGGGTGGGAATGGAGATTTTACAGTATCCTTCCCCTGGAGTGGGGTGGGAATGGAGATTTTACAGTATCCTTCCCCTGCCACGCCCACCAAGCCACACCACGCCCACCAAGCTACGCCCACTGAAACGGTAGTAAAAAATTTTTGAAGCCCACCACTGGCGCAGAGGCCTCATGAGGCCAAAAACGGGCCTGTTTGGGGGCAGCAGAGTGGTTCTGGAGGCCGAAGAGAGAGAGAGGGAGAGGGAGGGAGAGAAAGACACACAAACACACACACAAACAGAAGTCCCTCACACATACCCCAAGACATCCCTTCACTAACCCGCTTTCCACCCCCAGGAGCATAACAAATTAAAGTTTAATTTGTGCATATTGTTTAATGGACTGCTAAATTGGCCATGTCCACACAGTCACATCACCACCACATCACCGTCAAAGAGCCTGTAGTACAGTGGACTAAAGCACTGTTATTAACAGATTAACATTCAGCTGCCTGCAATTACTGCAAGTTCAAATCTCCCCAGGCTCAAGGTTGACTCAGCCTTCCATCCTTTCAAAGGTAGGTGAAATGAGGACCCAGATTGTGGGGGCAATAAGCTGACTTTGTATAAATATATAAAAAAATATGAAGGCTATTGCTTAACGCATTGTAAGCCGCCCTGAGTCTCCGGAGAAGGGAGGCATATAAATTAAAGCAAAAAAAAAAAAAAAACCACCTAGCCACGCCTATCCAAGCCAGTTTGGCCCCCCCAACAGTCTGAGGGACCATGAATTGGCCCCCCGTTTTAAAAAGTTTGAGGACCTCTGATCAATAGACTATGGCATGCAAAAGGGACAATCAACCAGCCCAAAAGAGGACCAAAAAGACTCCAGCATCTGTCCACCAGTAATCAGCACCCGGATCAGAATAGATTAACTCCAAGGTCAACTTCAGACCAACAATCAAGAAAGCAATACCCCAATCAAGAAAGTGCCAAAGAAGCCACCAGTAAACAGCCCAACCAAAGAATCTCTAAGACTGCCCACAATAAAATTGACAGGGCAAGTCACTGGAATATAAACTGACAGCAAACCTCACTCCTTACTAGCACTGATGATGTTCCCTACTTTGGGTAATGAGACGTCTGCAAGAAAACAAGCCCAGAGAGCACCAAGGACCCCCTCACAATGCTATAAATCAGATTTGGAGCCAATGTCCAGGTGGTCCTCGACCTACGACCATAATCGAGACCAACGTTTATGTTGCTAAGTGAGACAGGTGCTAAGTGAGTTTTGCCCAACTATTTCCAACTTTCCTTGTTGCTGTTGTTAAATGAATCGCTGCGGTTGCTAAATTAGTAACACGGTTGTGAAGCGAATCCGGCTTCCCCATTGACTTTGTTTGTCAGGTGGTCGCAAAAGGCAATCACATGACCCAGGGACGCTGCAACCATCGTATATATGAGCCAGTTATCAAGCGCCTGAATGTTGATGACGTTGCCATGGGGACGCGGCAAGAGTCATAAAATGGTCACGAGTCGCTTTTTTCAGTACGGTTGTAACGGTCACTAAATGCAGTGCTGTGGAGTCGGAGTCGGAGTCAATTTTGGGTACCTGGAGTCGGAGTCAGAGTCGGAAGTACAAAAACATTTATCTCCCGACTCCATAGCCCTGACAGTGCTGTGGAGTCGGAGTCGAGGAGTCGAAGGAAATTTTGGGTACCTGGAGTCGGAGTCGGAGGTACAAAAAACTGAGGAGTCAGAGTCGGAACATTTATCTCCCGACTCCATAGCCCTGAACCGTTGTAAATCAAGGACAACTTGTACTCTACTGATTAGAGCAGGACTGAGTTCTTCCAGGGGCCTCCAAAGCCCTGCAGAACAGGCAGGGCCAACCTTTTCTTTAAAATGCTTTTAAAAGTTAAAAAAAAAAAAAAAAGCCTCTGATGAGGTGGGCGGGGTAAGCGAGCGGCGACTGGGCCAGGGACCGGTTCAGGGGCGCGGCCAGCCAATGTTATTACTGGTTCTCGGAACTACTACAAATTTTTACTACCAGTTCTTGCGAACCGGTGCGAACCGGGAGCAACCCACCACTGAATTGCGTCCGTCTGGCTGACGATCTTAACTGGGGCTTATTTTTGGGGTAGGGCGTATATTACGAGCATCCTGAAAAATCATGCTAGGGCTTATTTTCCAGTTGGGTCTTATTTTTGGGGAAACAGGGTAGTCTCTTGAGCATCCGAATTACAGATAAGATGGCCATTATAGCATTCACCAGATACTACAATAGCTAGAAGGATGGAAGTCTCAAAGGTGCTTTTTCCAAGAGGCATCTGGACTTTTTGGGGGGGGGGTTTCCTTGAAGACGTTTCGCTTTACATCCAAGAAGCTTCTTCATTTCTGAAGATGTTCTTCAGTTCAGAACTATTCAGTTCTTCAGTTCAGAACCGAAGAAGCTTCTTCGATGAAAAGCGAAACGTCTTCAAGGAAAAACAAAGAAAGTCCAGTTGCCTCTTGAAAAAAGCCCATTTTTGGGATAATCTGACCTGGATGACTGAGAATCTCTACAGACCTTTAGCTATACAATTTGGGATGGATACTCTTGGAATGATGTGGGAGTAGGAATGGACTTCCAGAGGAAAAAATTGCAGACTACAGGAACCATTTGCACCACTCAGGTGACCCTGAGGACACAGAGAAACCTCCAAGTGCTTCAACCATCCTCTAAAAAGATGCAAATAACCAGCTGTCTGCAAGGAATATAAATCCTTCCATTCCCCACCATCCTCTCAGAGCTGAAGAAGCTTCTTGGATGGAAAGCGAAATGTCTTCAAAGAAAGACAAAGAAAGTCCAGTTGCCTCTTGGAAAAAAAGCACCTTTGGGACAACCATGACCTGAATGACTGAAAATCTCCACAGACATTTAGAGCAGGGGTGAGCAAATGTGGCCCTTTTACAACCTGTGGACTTCAACTCCCAGAATTCCTGAGACAGCTTGGCTGTCTCAGGAATTCTGGGAGTTGAAGTCCACAGGTTGTAAAAGGGCCACATTTGCCCATCCCTGATTTAGAGTGATGGAAGATTTTAATGTAACAGTAATACCATACTCTAGCCAAACAAATGGATAAAACATGGGTTTAATGTTCAATATATTGCTACTAGTGGATTGCCATAAACTAACCTAGAGAAGTGACAATTAAAACCAGGGTGGAGAAAAATCAATGATTTTTTTAAAAAAATAAAAAAAAAATCAGATTTTTTTGATTTAAATCGGATTTTTTTGATTTTTATCGAATTTATTTTAATAAAAAACTTTTGGGGTAAAAATCTATCGTAAGATAGTTTTCTATTTAAGATACATAAATAATTTAATTTATTCAGCATGAAATGGAGCTCAGTTATGTAGCATGAGGCTGTATATTATGCAACACTGGGACTATCGGTGAGTCAACAGTGGGTCAAAGGAGTAGCAGAGATGACAGTTGCTCTTTAAAAATTATGATTTAAATCGAGTTGATTTAAATCAAGCCTTTTTACTAGTGATTTAAATCATGATTTAAATTGTGATTTAAATCAACTCGATTTAAATCAAATCCACCCTGATTAAAACTGGAGTAATCTTTCAGAATCTGCAACTTAGAACATTTGATTAAACTCGTTTTTCCAATCCAAGATCTCCCGATTTGACTAGTACTCGTATCATCCCAATAATCATAACTAATATTTAAGTGTGTACAAAGTCCTACAAGCTGAAGCCAATTACAGAAATATATATCCCTTTGTTACCCAGAGTTTTTGTTAATTAGGCTGATAAACAGAGGAGACAGGCTCGGAGGAGGTACTCATGGGATTACTTTTCTGATATGTTTGTACATATCTGCCTTTGCCTCTCCCTCATCGCTAAATGTCTATGGAGATTTTCAGTCATTCAGGTCACGATTGTCCCAAAGGTGCTTTTTTCAAGAGGCAACTGGGCTTTCTGGATTTTTCTTTGAAGACGTTTCGCTTCTCATCCAAGAAGCTTCTTCAGCTCTG